GAGCGAGGGACTCTCTGCGACCAAATAGGGTCTGGGGTCTCGCACGGGGAAAATGAACCCAGCCCCTCCCCAGAGGGACCTGTGGGAGGTGGGGAGCGTTTTGCTGCAGTCACCACTGAATCAGGGGTTAATTTACGTAGAGCTAATTAGCAGGAGGGTCTTAATTGGCTCACCCATCAGGGTGCCATACCGCTGGGCTGGGTGCGGGTGGGTGGCTGAAGCTGCGGGGAGGGCGGTGGGTTCACCATGGGGGTCCCTCGGTTCCATCCCCATCGCTGACCCCAACTCCCCTCCTCTCTTCCTGCAGGACTCCATGTTCTCCCTGGCCCTGAAATGCCTTATCAGCCTCTCCACCGTCATCCTGCTGGGGCTCATCATCGCCTACCACACGCGGGAGGTGCAGGTACGTCCGAGGACTCATCCCCGAACGGTCCGTGCGCTTTGGAAGCAAGGATGTCCGCTGCCATCCCCATCCCACCCCTCTCACGGGGACAAACGGCCGCAGGAGCGATGGGTCCCCATCCTTCTCACCCCCCTCACGCTCCCCTCAGCCGGGTGCGAGCCGCAGCTTTTCACCTCTCCCTGTTTGTAGGACGGGGAGGGTCCCGCATTTCTGCTCTTTCACCGCACGGCCGCTCTGCCAAGGAAAGCTGTGAAATACCTTCCTAATCACGCCGCCCATTCTCTTCCTTTCTGCCCTCTCCGGCTTTGCGGGGAGATAAAGGCTCTGATTCGGCTCGCTCCGATGCCAGCGTTTTGGGGCTGCGGGGGGGTCGGGCGCAGCGTGCAGACCGTGCCCTGGGTCTGGGGGCGTCCCCCAGTGCGACCCTGACCCAACACCGCTGTCCCCACAGCACCCATCCCTCGGGAGCAGCCGAGGAAAGGCGCGGGAGCAGCCGCCTTCCTGCCGGGCCCGCGGCCAAACCGGGGCTGTGGTCACCGAGCAGCGATGCCGGGAGTTGCCGGCTTCATTCCGCATCCACCGGGGAGACACCGGGAGCGCCGAGCGCGGTCCCCTCCTCCTGCGCTGCGTTCTGTGCGCGCCGTCGGGGCTGAGCTCCCCAGTGCAGAGCAGCGCAGGAGATCTCTGCCCCTTCCACGGTCGAAAGGCCGCCCAGAACAAATATTTGAGAAGCTGCGCTGTGCTGCAATAATATTTACCCCCAGGGTCGCTGTGTTTGTGCCCGGCCGGGCTGAACCCGGCTCGCTGCCGCTTCCTTCCTCCCGCTTTTTGTTCTCGGTTCTGTCCTCCCGTCCCGGCTGAGCCCCGCTCAGCGCGCAGGGCAGAGCGGCTTAAATCGGCCGAAACGTCGCGATCTGGGGACGGGCCGCTGTGCTGGGGGCCGTGAAACCGAAGCGCCCCCAGCACGGAGGTGTCCCACCCTCAGCTTTGCGCTGCCCCGCTTCCTTCCACCCCTCCCCGTGGGCTCTCTGAGGTCTCCGCATCCTCGCGGCTCCTCGCAGCCTCGCGGCTTCAATAGCCGACGGTTCGGTGGCAATTAGCGGCGTGCGCTGATTTCCTCACTGCCTTCCCTTCCTCCGACCCCTAAAAACACGTGGGGTCCGGCACTCGCGGGCTGGTGGAGGAGAGGAGCTGGGTTTGAGTCGGTTTGCTCCCACAAATCCGCGCCGGCTGTTGGCGGCCCTATTATCTTTGAGGTGCTTATAAAGGGATCGCTGCTAATCCTCCGCGGGGATGGATGTGGGGCCGCCGGAGCCGTAAATCCTCAGCCACCGTTCCTCCCCAACCTGCGGGAAGGGCTCAGCTGCTTCCCCGGGTGTTAATTGCGTTAATTGCCAGCTCCCTGAGGATGTTCCGGCTTTCCATTTGCCGCGCGGGGCGGCGTCCTGCTGGGATTCCATAGGGCTGCAGGGCGGTTTTTGGGGGCTGAAGGGATCCATCCGACCCCACGGTGGGCACCCACCGCTGTGTGCAGGACCTCCCCTCATCCCGTTGCTGCCGTGGATTTGGGAGAGAGAACTTGAGGCTGTTTGAGGATTCGTTGGACGGGATGTCCTGGGAAGATGTCCGTAGAGACAAAGGAGCGGAGGAAAGCTGGCTGCTCCGTCAGGATGCCTTTCTGAGAGCACAAGGGCGCTCTGTCCCTCTCAATTAAGAGCGTGGGAAGGGGAGGCAGGAGACCGGCACGGCTTGGCAAGAACCTGCTGGTCGCACTGAGGGAGAAGAAGGGATTGTTGAACCGACGGTGGAAAACAAGGATGTGTCACCTGGGGGAGAATTCGTCGCTGCCATTGACAAGAAAGGGAGGATGAGTGGAACTCCAGGCTGGTGAGCGTCACCTCTGTGCCTGGGAAAATCGTGGAGCAGATCCTCCTAGAAGACAAATTGAGGCACAAATTAAGGATGAGTGGTGATTCCAGGCAGCCGGCATGGCTTCACCAAGGGAAGGTCGTGCCTGACCCATCTGGTGGCTGTAAGAGGGGGTGGCTTCGACTGGATGTCAGGAGGAAGTTCTTTGCACAGAGTGGTTCTGGAACAGGTTCTGTCCCTGGAGGTGTTCAGGATGTTCAGGACCAGGTTGGATGGCAAATGCCAGATCTGGAGGTTGGAGGCCCTGCCTGCAATGCGGGGGGGGGGGTTGGAACTCAATGGCCTTTTTATGGTCCCTTCCAACCCAAGCTTTTCTGTGAAGCTGGGGATACCCGGGTACCGCCGGACTGCGCCGAGGTTTCCATGGAAACCCCACGCAGCCGTGAGCTGTTGGGGCTGGAGGGGAGGGGGGGGGGACTGTGCCAAAGGGCCCCCCCTCCCCATCCCGACGCCCTTTGCCCGGTGTGCTGCCAAAAGGCTCTCACTGCCTCTTTCCTCTCGCTAATTTGTTTATTTTTAACACCCTTTTCCAGGAAGGAATGGGCTGTCAGCTCGCTAAATGCCTGAGGATCTCCCCTGACAGCTTGGAGCGATTTTATAAACAATTTCTCCAACAAAGCAGCTCAAAGGAGCGGAGCTTTCCCAACACAGGGAGGTGGCCGGGACGCACTGCGTGCGTCAGCCCCTTGGGATGGCTCTGGGAGGGGGGGGTGACTCTGCGTGCTGCCTGTGTGACACAGCACGGTCCTGGGGTCCCATTGCTGCTCCCAGCCTTTGGGACGTGACCTCCGTGTCCCCTTTGGGTCCATCTCCAGCGGTGTCTTTGCAGAGTGCTGTTCACAGAATGTCCCCGAGAGGCATCCGCCGCTTCTCGGCGCGCTCCGTGCGAAGCCAAGAGTGGTGGGAGCGCATCCTGCCCCTCGGGGGGGGGTTCTGTGCAGACCCCGTTGCAGCTCAGACCCCCACCGCAGCGCTCGGAGGAGCGGCTTTGCCCAGGGTGAACCTGCACGTTGCCATGACAACGCAGCATCCGTCGCTGCCTTCCTCCCAAAAAGTCGCCCTCCGGGTGCAGCTGGCAGCGGTCGCATGATGGTGACACAGCTGCTGTGTCAGAGGTGCCCCGTGGGGTGGGAGAAGGGGCCGTCCTGTGCGCCCTGTGGGGAGAGCTGGAAGGGACCTGAGGCTTTTGGGTGTCCCCAGTGCCGCCGCCGTGTGCCCGCTGTCCCCATCCCCACCCATCCGTGTTCCTCTGGGGCAATTCCCCTCATCCCAGTGGAGCTGCGTGATGTGGGTCCCTTCCTTGCCTGTCCCCTCAGTGCTGATGGGATGATGCAGGGGGATGCCCAGGGACCCCAGTAACCAAGGGGTGCCATAGGGCCACCAGTAACCATGGGATCCCATAGGGCCACCAGTAACCATGGGGTGCCATAGGGCCACCAGTAACCATGGGGTGCCATATGGCCAACAATTATGATAGGACCCCATAGGGCCACCAGTAACCATGGGATCCCATAGGGCCACCAGTAACCATGGGATGCCATAGGGCCACCAATAATGATTGGATCCCATAGGGCCAGCAGTAACCATGGGGTGCCATAGGGCCACCAGTAACTATGAGATCCCATAGGGCCACCAATAATGATGGGATCCCATAGGGCCACCAGTAACCATGGGGTGCCACATGACCACCAATAATGATCACAGAACTGTAGGGGTTGGAAGGGACCTCCAGAGATCATCAAGTCCAACCTCCCTGCCAAAGCGGGTTCCCTACAGCAGGGGATCCCATAGGGCCACCAGTAACCATGGGATGCCATAGGGCCAGCAGTAACCATGGGATCCCATAGGGCCACCAGTAACCATGGGATGCCACATGACCACCAATAATGATCACAGAACTGTAGGGGTTGGAAGGGACCTCCAGAGATCATCGAGTCCAACCCCGCTGCCAAAACGGGTTCCCTACAGCAGGGGATCCCATAGGACCACCAGTAACCATGGGGTGCCATAGGGCCACCAGTAACCATGGGATGCCATAGGGCCACCAGTAACTATGAGATCCCATAGGGCCACCAGTAACCATGGGATTCCCTAGGGCCACCAGTAACCATGGGATCCCATAGGGCCACCAGTAACCATGGGATCCCATAGGGCCACCAGTAACCATGGGATGCCACATGACCACCAATAATGATCACAGAACTGTAGGGATTGGAAGGGACCTCCAGAGATCATCAAGTCCAACCTCCCTGCCAAAGCGGGTTCCCTACAGCAGGGGATCCCATAGGGCCGCCAGTAACCGTGGGGTGCCATAGGGCCACCAGTAACCATGGGATGCCATAGGGCCACCAGTAACCATGGGGTGCCATAGGGCCACCAGTAACCATGGGATCCCATAGGGCCACCAGTAACCATGGGATCCCATAGGGCCGCCAGTAACCGTGGGGTGCCATAGGGCCACCAGTAACTATGAGATCCCATAGGGCCACCAATAATGATGGGATCCCATAGGGCCGCCAGTAACCGTGGGGTTCCACAGGGCCGCCCATAACCACAGGCTGCCCCACGGCCGCCCATAACCACGCGCTTTCCCTCCCGGCAGCTCTTTGTGATCGACAACGGTGCCGACGACTGGCGGATCGCCATGACGTACGAGCGCATCCTCTACATCAGCCTGGAGATGCTGGTTTGTGCCATTCACCCCATCCCTGGGGAGTACAAATTTTTCTGGACCGCACGCTTGGCGTTCTCCTACACTCCGTCTCGGGCGGAGGCGGACGTGGACATCATCCTGTCCATCCCCATGTTCCTGAGGCTCTACCTGATCGCACGCGTCATGCTGCTGCACAGCAAGCTCTTCACCGACGCCTCGTCGCGCAGCATCGGAGCCCTCAACAAGATCAACTTCAACACTCGTTTTGTCATGAAGACTCTCATGACCATCTGCCCCGGGACGGTGCTGCTGGTGTTCAGCATCTCCCTCTGGATCATCGCCGCGTGGACGGTGCGGGTGTGTGAGAGGTGAGGTGTGTGGGATGGGGGGAGCCTGGGGGGTGTTGTGGGGATGGGGGTGAGGATTGGGGACATGCAGGAGGTGCCGTGGGGATGGCACTGAGATTTAGGGACACCCAGGAGGTGCCATGGGGATGGTGATGGGGATTGGGGACATGCAAGAGGTGCCATGTGGAAGGCAATGAGGATTGGGGCATCCAGGAGGTGCCACGGAGATGGCACTGAGATTTAGGGACACCCAGGAGGTGCCATGGGGATGGTGATGGGGATGGGACACCCAGCAGGTGCCGTGGAGATGGCATTGAGAGTTAGGGACACCCAGGAGGTACAGTGGGGATGGTGATGGGGATTGGGGACATGCAGGAGGTGCCATGGGGATGGCCATGAGGATTGGGGCAACCAGGAGGTGCTGTGGGGGTGTGATGGGGACTGGGGACGTGCAGGAGGTGCTGTGGGGATGGCATTGAGAGTTAGGGACACTCAGAAGGTGCCGTGGGGATGGTGATGGCGACTGGGGACATGCAGGAGGTGCCATGTGGATGGCAGTGAGGATTGGGGCATCCAGGAGGTGCCATGGAGATGGCACTGAGATTTAGGGACACCCAGGAGGTGCCATGGGGATGGTGATGGGAATTGGGGCATCCAGGAGGTGCCGTGGAGATGGCATTGAGAGTTAGGGACACTCAGAAGGTGCTGTGGGGATGGTGATGGGGATTGGGGACATGCAGGAGGTGCCATGGGGATGGGGATGGGGATTGGGGCAACCAGGAGGTGCTGTGGGGGTGTGATGGGGATTGGGGACGTGCAGGAGGTGCTGTGGGGATGGCATTGAGAGTTAGGGACACCCAGGAGGTGCTGTGGGGGTGGTGAGGGGGATTGGGACACCCAACAGGTGCCATGGGGATGGTGATGGGGACTGAAGACATGCAGGAGGTGCCATGTGGAAGGCAATGAGGATTGGGGCATCCAGGAGGTGCCACGGAGATGGCACTGAGATTTAGGGACACCCAGGAGGTGCCATGGGGATGGTGATGGGGATTGGGGACACCCAGCAGGTGCCGTGGAGATGGCATTGAGAGTTAGGGACACCCAGGAGGTACAGTGGGGATGGTGATGGGGATTGGGGACATGCAGGAGGTGCCATGTGGATGGCCATGAGGATTGGGGCAACCAGGAGGTGCTGTGGGGGTGTGATGGGGACTGGGGACGTGCAGGAGGTGCTGTGGGGATGGCATTGAGAGTTAGGGACACCCAACAGGTGCCGTGGGGATGGTGATGGCGACTGGGGACATGCAGGAGGTGCCATGTGGATGGCAGTGAGGATTGGGGCATCCAGGAGGTGCCATGGAGATGGCACTGAGATTTAGGGACACCCAGGAGGTGCCGTGGGGATGGTGATGGGGATTGGGGCATCCAGGAGGTGCCGTGGAAATGGCATTGAGAGTTAGGGACACTCAGAAGGTGCTGTGGGGATGGTGATGGGGATTGAGGACGTGCAAGAGGTGCCGTAGGGATGGCAGTGAGGATTGGAGCATCCAGGAGGTGCTGTGGGGGTGTGATGGGGACTGGGGACATGCAGGAGGTGCCATGGAGGTGGCATTGAGATTTAGGGACACTCAGAAGGTGCTGTGGTGATGGTGATGGGGACTGGGGAGATGCAGGGGGTGCCATGTGGATGGCAGTGAGGATTGGGGCATCCAGGAGGTGCCATGGAGATGGCACTGAGATTTAGGGACACCCAGGAGGTGCCGTGGGGATGGTGATGGGGACTGGGGACATGCAGGAGGTGCCATGGAGGTGGCATTGAGAGTTAGGGACACTCAGAAGGTGCTGTGGTGATGGTGATGGGGATTGGGGAGATGCAGGAGGTGCCATGTGGATGGCAGTGAGGATTGGGGCATCCAGGAGGTGCCACAGAGATGGCACTGAGATTTAGGGACACCCAGGAGGTGCCGTGGGGATGGTGATGGGGACTGGGGACATGCAGGAGGTGCTGTGGCGATGGCATTGAGAGTTAGGGACACCCAGGAGGTGCCGTGGGGATGGTGATGGCGACTGGGGAGATGCAGGAGGTGCCATGTGGATGGCAGTGAGGATTGGGGCATCCAGGAGGTGCCATGGAGATGGCACTGAGATTTAGGGACACCCAGGAGGTGCTGTGGGGATGGTGATGGGGGTTGAGGACATGCAAGAGGTGCCGTAGGGATGGCAGTGAGGATTGGAGCATCCAGGAGGTACAGTGGGGATGGTGATGGGGATTGGGGAGATGCAGGAGGTGCCATGTGGATGGCACTGAGATTTAAGGACACCCAGGAGGTGCTGTGGGGGTGGTGATGGGGATGGGACACCCAACAGGTGCCGTGGGGATGGTGGTGGGGACTGAAGACATGCAGGAGGTGCCATGTGGAAGGCAATGAGGATTGGGACAACCAGGAGGTGCTGTGGGGGTGTGATGGGGATTGGGGACATGCAGGAGGTGCCATGTGGAAGGCAATGAGGATTGGGGCATCCAGGAGGTGCCACGGAGATGGCACTGAGATTTAGGGACACCCAGGAGGTGCCATGGGGATGGTGATGGGGATGGGACACCCAGCAGGTGCCGTGGAGATGGCATTGAGAGTTAGGGACACCCAGGAGGTACAGTGGGGATGGTGATGGGGATTGGGGACATGCAGGAGGTGCCATGGGGATGGGGATGGGGATTGGGGCAACCAGGAGGTGCTGTGGGGGTGTGATGGGGACTGGGGACGTGCAGGAGGTGCCATGGAGGTGGCATTGAGATTTAGGGACACCCAGGAGGTGCCATGGGGATGGTGGTGGGGACTGGGGACACCCAGGAGGTGCCGTGGGGATGGCATTGAGAGTTAGGGACACCCAGGAGGTACAGTGGGGATGGTGATGGGGATTGGGGACATGCAGGAGGTGCCATGTGGAAGGCAATGAGGATTGGGGCAACCAGGAGGTGCTGTGGGGGTGTGATGGTGATTGGGGACATGCAGGACGTGCTATGGGGATGGCATTGAGAGTTAGGGACACCCAGCAGGTGCCGTGGGGATGGTGGTGGGGACTGGGGACACCCAGGAGGTGCCGTGGCGATGCCAATGGGGCTGTTTGGGGGCTTTGATGGGTGCAGAGGGGATTTGTACAGGGAAAGGTGCAGCTTGGCTGTCTGTGAGTGCCATGACAACACGGTGCTTCCAAACCCACTGCTGGATGGCAGCACTGGCGTTGCTGTGGCGACCGGTGCCAGCAGGTACCACAGCGTCCCCATGGCAGCGTCCCCATGGCAGCGGGGTGGTACCGGGGCTGTCCCGGTGCCCAGGTTGCTTTGAGCAGTTCTTCCCCATGCAATGTGCCTGGTAGCCTGGCACAGGGATGGGGCTGTTCCAGTAGCCACGTGGGACGCAGAGCCACGAGCAGGGCGGCTCCGCTGGACGTTCTGTCCCCTATCCCTGCTGGCGGTGCCCATTGGGATCACATCCCCGAGGAGGACGGAGATGGGGCTGTCTGTGGGAGAGCACTCAAGAAGACAAATGCACGTTATGATTTGCTTTAAGTGGATTAGCTCAATCGCATGAAATCCCTTTAAGTCTGGGCTGTGGGATGATGCCGGGCTCAGCGGTGCGGGGTCGGGTCACCCCATCCATCCCCTCCTCTTCCTCCTCCCCTCGGTGTCACCACGCCATTTCATCCACGTCTCCAGAGCGTCTCTGAGTGGCATGGAAACGCTCTGGGGTTGTGGGAGCTCTTCCAGACGGTGCTGCTCTTCCTGCTCCTCCTAATGAGGCCTTTATGATGGGCTGGAGAGCTCTGTGCCTTCATTGCATCGGGGGATCCTTCTTTGTACCTTCTGAAAGGGAGCAGGCGGGTGGGTGGGGGGTTTTTAGGGGGGGGGTTTGCACCAAAGGGGGTCCAGCTGGAAGCACGGCGGATATAAAGAACAGGTTAATGATGGAGAGTGGGAATGAGGCAGGAGAACTGCTGCAGAGTGGGGACACGCAGGCAATGGGGGAAACAAACACACAGGGAATGGGATCACGGAGGGAGTGGGGTCAGGCAGAGAGCAGGGACTTGTCCCCAAGCGATGCTGTGTCCCTGCAGCACGCAGAGGCCCTGAGTGCTGGCCCAGTGTGACAGCAGGACCCTCGTGCCCACCCGCAGCAACGTGCATCTAGGGGACCAGATGCGTCCCCACCTCCCCATGCTGGCAGCCCAGGGGGCTCCATCCCCTTTCGTGCCCCCCCCCCCAGGACGGTGGCACTATTTGGGCGCGTTCCCGAGGCTGTGGCATCGCTCCAGGCGCCGTCTCCCCTCCTCCATGTCCCCGTCCCCCCCCCCCCCTGGTGCCACATCCCTCCGGAGGCAGCGAGTCTCTTAGCAACCCTCACCCCGCCGCTGCCTGCGGTGCTGCCTGCGGTGCTGCGCTGCCCGCGGCCGGCACACGTGTGCGTGCACGTGCGTGCAGCCCGCTCCCCTCCTGGTTTTGCACCCGGGAGGTGGGGGGGGGGGGGTTGCATTTTCCACCGGGGTTGTTTCCATTTTGTACCTGTGGGTGGTTGCATCTCGCACCGGATTTGTTTCCATTTTGCACTGAAGGGAGCGGTTGCATTTTTTACCTGGGATGTTTTCATTTTGCACTAATAGCACTTGCATTTTTGCATCAGGAACACTTGCATTTTGCACCGGGGGGCTTTGCATTTTGCACTGGTTGGCTTTGCATTTTGCACTGGGGGGCTTTGCATTTTGCACTGGAGGCACTTGCATTTTGTACTGGTTGGCTTTGCATTTTGCACCAGGGATGCTTGCTTTATGGACCAGTAGCAGTTGCATTTTGCACTGGTTGGCTTTGCATTTTGCACCGGGGGGCTTTGCATTTTGCACTGGAGGCACTTGCATTTTGTACTGGTGGGCTTTGCATTTTGCACTGGTTGGCTTTGCATTTTGCACTGGGGGGCTTTGCATTTTGCACCAGGGATGCTTGCTTTTTGGACCAGTAGCAGTTGCATTTTGCACCGGTGGGCTTTGCATTTTGCACTGGTTGGCTTTGCATTTTGCACTGGTGGGCTTTGCATTTTGCACTGGTTGGCTTTGCATTTTGCACTTGCATTTTGTACTGGTGGGCTTTGCATTTTGCACTGGTTGGCTTTGCATTTTGCACCGGAGGGCTTTGCATTTTGCACCGGTGGGCTTTGCATTTTGCACTGGAGGCACTTGCATTTTGCACTGGAGGCACTTGCATTTTGTACCGGAGGGCTTTGCATTTTGCACTGGTTGGCTTTGCATTTTGCACTGGAGGCACTTGCATTTTGCACCGGCGGGCTTTGCATTTCACACCAGGGATGCTTTGCATTTTGCACTGGCTGTTTGCATGCTGGACTTCCTGCCCTCTCCCAAACCCACAGCCAAGCACGCGCTGCTGCTGCTGCGTCCTCGTGCCTCGACGCTCCGCTCCCAGCCGGGGTGAAGCTCCTTCCGGGGAGCGCAGACGAGGGGGTGACAGAAAGCAGCTCTTGGGTCTAAACAATTGCATCAGCCCTTGGCGAGTGCAGCCGCCCCTCTTCCTGCTCAAGCCGTGCTGGTGCCAGCTGCTCCTGTTTATGAGCTCCGAGTGCTTCTGGGAAGGGAAAGCAACGCTCCATCCGGGGGCTCTGCGGCCCTTCGTTCGCGTCCCGTTTGCACCACGAGTCCTTTGGGGGCTGTGGGGTGGGAGCGTGCGTGGATGGTGAGGGGTTTGGGGGTGTTTGGTGCAGGGGAGAGGGTGGAAATGTCCCAGATTTGGAGGGGGATCCGTTGCAGGGTCGTGGTGTGGCCTTGCTCTGCTGCTGCTCTGCGCTGATCCGTTGGGGTCTCCGGTTACTTGGGGGGGATGGGGGGAGGGATGGAGAGAAAAACAAAATGCAGAAAGAGGAGAAAACCCAACTGTTGGGCGAGTTACGAGCTGCGAGGCTTGGATGAATCGATTCGCAGGGAATTGCCAACAGCTCCATCTGTTTTTCCTCTAATGATTTCGCGAGGAGGCTGAGAGGAACCTGCTGCGGAGGGGGGGGGGGATGAAGGAGGCAGGGCTCAGCAGTGGGGAGGTGGGGGCTGTGGGGCGCAGTGCCCACCCAGGGGGCTTCAGGGGGGCTCCTGATCCTATAGAGGAGGAAGAAGGGCTGTGGGATTCGATGGGGCTGCTTGGGGGTTTGCAGCATCCCTGGATCTGGGGGTGCTCTGCGTGTGCCCCAGTCAGGAGCTGCTGTGAGATGGGAGGAGAGAAGCTGAAGGAGCACGTGGACGTGGAGGGGATGGGGTCCCCCCTTTGTGGGGCTGGTGGTTCTCAGGGTGGGGGGCTTGGGGTTGCTTCAAGCAAAGCTCCTGCTGAGTGCATCCTCCCTTTGCACCGTGCTGCCATCCCTGTGGGTCCCGTTGGTGCTGCTCAGCCCTGTGAGTTCTGTGTGTCCCAACCCCATGGGTCTGGGGGGGGGGGGGGGGGCTCCTGTCCACCCCCACCCACCCTCCCACAGCCCCACGTCTGTTTCTGCCATCAGCCACGTGGCACTGGGGGGGGGGCTTGGGAAGGGGGGGACACCACACCACGGTTACAGCTCTGGCCGAAAGCAGAAGCCCCCACCGTTGGATTTTTGGGTTCTTTTTTTCCTTTGATATTTTTTTGTGCTGGAAATGCTGCAATCTGTGTGGGTTTGGGGCGTCCCCCTGCGTCGTTCATCTTCATCCCCTTTGCTTCGCATGACGCAGGAGGAACCCCAGGCCCGGTCTCTTTTGGGATCATCCCCTGTGCCAGCGCTCCCCACGGTCCCCAAGTGCTGCCCCAACCCCATTCCCAGCTGTGACACTCACACTTTTGTCCCCCCCTGTCCCCCTCCCCATACACACACAGGTACCACGACCAGCAGGACGTGACCAGCAACTTCCTGGGTGCCATGTGGCTCATCTCCATCACCTTCCTCTCCATCGGGTACGGGGACATGGTGCCGCACACCTACTGTGGGAAGGGGGTCTGTCTGCTCACCGGCATCATGGTAAGCACCAGGATGGGGCAGTGGGGTGCTTTAGGGACCAGTGCTCTGTCTGAGCATCGAGGTCTTGCAGCCTGAGAGCTGCCGGAGCTTTCCTTGCTGTTGGTTTGCTGGGTTTGGGGTGAATTTTGGTTTGAGGGAAGGGCTGGGCAGCCCATAGCTGCGTGGTGATGGCCTCGTCTTAAGGAAGCAGCAGATGTGGGGACCAGCAGCCCCTCGCATCCCTTGGCCGCCGGTCTGACTTCCATCACACCGAGCGATCCCAACTGCTGCAGCATCCCCACGGGGAGCGGGGACAGCTGGGAGAGCTCCCACCCACGGCACTGACCTGCAGGACCCCATCTACCTGCTCCAAGGGGCTGTGAGCCGGCCTGGCTTGCACTGCTGTGCAGCTGGGGACGGCTGCTCCGTGGCTCTGCACCGCTGTCCCCATCCTCTGCAGCACGTGGCGTTGCTACGACCGAAAAATCCACACTTGGGGGGGGGGTCCTGGGGCTCCCACCTCACCGGCAGATGTTGTGAACCGTGATACCGTGCGACATCCTGGCAGTGGGACGGGGGGACCCCTGGGCTGGGGACCCCCCCCATGCCACCCTGTCAAGCGATAGCAGCGCGCTGGGGCTCCCTAAAAGCGGCGTTAGGGTGGCTGTGCTGCTGGCAGAGGGAAGGGTGATGAAAGCTGAGAGCGCAGGCTGGGAGCTGCGGGGATGCGAAAGGACGCGGCTCAGCCCATGATGTTAATTAATGACTCTTTAATAAATAAAAGATTGCGTGCCAGGGTCACGGGCCTCTGCCAGAGCTGCGGGGAGGGGGAGCGGGCAGAGCCAGGTGGCACAGAGCCCTGGAGGAGCGGGGTCTCCTGCCTGGCACCTTCCGTTCCCAAACGCGCACCGGATCTGGTGCTCATTGCCAAGACGAAGCCACGCCAGCTGCCGCTGCCTGTGGGCAAATGGGGGTCCGGCCCCCTCCCATCACTGCTCCTCTGTGGGTTCTCAGTATCTCCCTTCTGCCTGGATTCCCCGTGGGTTCTCTGTCCCATGGGGACATCGGGAGGGCACCGATGGGCACCTCTGACGTCGTCAGTCAGCCTTGTTAATTGCTGGGAGCTCTGGCAGCTGCTCGAGGCCACAATGGGAGGCCGAATGCTGCTGTAAACCCGGGTTAAACTGGGTTGCCCACGTCAAGATGGCGGGGTTTGTGCAACCTGTGGGTGGGGGCTGGAGGGGCGTGCGGTGCATCCAGTGATCGGGGTTTGCATGTGGTTCCTTGATCCCCGGGGTGGGAATAGAGGGGGTGCAGGTGAGCCCCATCCTGACCCCCTGCCCCCCAGCGCCCCCCCAGCCCCTCATACCTGACCCTGTGACCCCTACACAACCCACACCTGACCAGGCCAAGTGACTTCCCCGTGTTCCCCCATCCTGCTGTCCCTGCAGGGCGCCGGCTGCACGGCCCTGGTGGTGGCTGTGGTGGCCCGAAAGCTGGAGCTCACCAAAGCTGAGAAGCACGTTCACAACTTCATGATGGACACGCAGCTGACCAAGAGGGTAAGGGCAAAGGGAGGGGTCCGGGGGGGGGGGGATGGTGCAGCATCCCTGGGGTCCCATTGGAGCTGAACGCAAAGCATGCTGAAGCATTAGGGTAAAAGCAAAGAGCGCCGGCCCTCTGCTTTGCTTTGCAGCTCTTTGTGAAATGCAGAGAGTGCAGCCGCACCCAGGGCAGGAAATGCACATATTTTCTCCTTCCCTCGGAGGAGATGGACCGTCTTCTCTGGTGGAACATGAGCTCACTCGTCTCAGGATTGGGGTTCCGGTGATTCAGCAGCTCCGTGCTGCAGACGAGTGCTGTGCTGTGGTACTGCTGTGTGCTCCATCCCAGTGGGGCACCCTGGAGCCGCGTGGGTCTGTGGGTGCTGTCCCAGACCCCAGCGTGGCACCGGGGTGGGGACGGGGCTGTGGGACACCCAGGTCACATCCAATGTGAGCAAAGCACAGGGCAGCATCAGGGTTTCAAGTTTAGGCATCTCCTTCCAGAAAAGCTTCCCCCAGGGAGCTAAATCCCAAACTGGCTCCGTTTGCGCCATGCATCGATGTCACTTTAGGTGACACAGGTGGCACAAGGTCATCGTGTCCTTGGCCACATCTGGGCTCACAGGAGAAGAGCTCTGCTTGCAATCCAGCAGTGCTGGAGGGCTGGAGGGGCTCCCAGCGCCCGTTTGAGGTCGCTTTTGGCACAAGGGATGGACGGAGTGAGGGGCAATGCAGGCAGGTTGGGGACCACAGGGGCACTGAGCCCTCATCCAGCTCCAAGGGGTGCAGATGGGGCATCCGCAGAGGGCAAAGTGGGTGAGGAGCCTCATGGCTGGAGCACATTTCCCCAAAGCGTCAGAGAGGGATGGGGATGGGGATGGGGATGGGGATGGGGTGGTGATGGAGTGGGGTTGAGGATGGGGATGGGGATGGGGATGGGGTGGTGATGAAGTGGGGATGGGGATGGGATGGGGATGGTGATGGGGATGCGGATGGGGATGGGGTGGTGATGAAGTGGGGATGGGGATGGGATGGGGATGGTGATGGGGATGCGGATGGGGATGGGGTGGTGATGAAGTGGGGATGGGGATGGGATGGGGATGGTGATGGGGATGCGGATGGGGATACAGCAGGGCCAGGGCCATTGCTCTGCCTGCAGCACTCCATCCCTGCCTTGCATGACCCCACACACGTCCGATCAGGCACATGGAGCTCCCAGCTGGGACAATTCAGGTCCTGTGATCCCAACCAGCAGCGCCCAGCGGGGCCGGAGCGCTGTTTTCATGCAATAATTCGTCCCACGCGCTGCAGCAGATGGGGCTGCTGACCCGATGCCCTTCTCTTACAGATCAAGAACGCGGCGGCCAACGTCCTGCGGGAGACGTGGCTCATCTACAAGCACACCAAGCTGCTGAAAAAGATCGACCACGCCAAAGTCCGGAAGCACCAGAGGAAGTTCCTACAAGCCATTCACCAGTAAGTGGGGAGCCGTGGGGTGCTGCGATGGGGGGGAGGGGGCTCTGAGCCTGGGGAGGGGGCCCTTTGGGATCCCACAGCGACTGGGAGAGCTGAGGATAGGGAGGGGATCCCTCTGATATCCCACTGTGATGGGGAGGGCTGAGCGTGGGGAGGGGGTCCCTCTGTGATCCCATGGCAATGAGGAGGGCTGAGCATGGGGAGGGGGTCCTTCTGTGATCCCAAGGCAATGAGGAGGGCTGAGCATGGGGAGGGGGTCCCTCTGTGATCCCAAGGCAATGAGGAGAGCTGAGCATGGGGAGGGGGTCCCTCTGTGATCCCATGGCAATGAGGAGGGCTGAGCATGGGGAGGGGGTCCCTCTGTGATCCCATGGCAACGAGGAGGGCTGAGCATGGGGAGGGGGTCCCTCTGTGATCCCATGGCAACGAGGAGGGCTGAGCATGGGGAGGGGGTCCTTCTGTGATCCCATGGCAATGAGGAGGGCTGAGCATGGGGAGGGGGTCCCTCTGTGATCCCATGGCAATGAGGAGGGCTGAGCCTGGGGAGGGGGTCCTTCTGTGATCCCATGGCAATGAGGAGGGCTGAGCATGGGGAGGGGGTCCCAGCCCATCCACAGGATGGCTCTCCATTTCCTAGTAATGGGAAGGGTCTCTGCAGCGTTTTGTAGTTGGGAAGAGTGGTGCGTGGCGTTGCTCTCCCCCTCCCCAGGTTGCGCAGCGTGAAGATGGAGCAGCGGAAGCTGAGCGACCAGGCCAACACGCTGGTCGACCTCTCGAAGGCAAGTCCTCCCATAACCCCATGGCCTCGTGTTCCTCTTCCCTTGGAACATCCGAGGCAGAACCTGGCTGACCGCGGTGCTCCGGCTCCTGAGCTGTCAGCGTGAACATCTCACAGCCCTTGCATGTAGAACAGAGCGAGGACGGGGGGGTCACCCCATTTCCATTAGAGCTCTGCGCTCACCGCCCCATAGGAACGCTGCACGGCCCAGCTGGGGATGCTCATGGCTCAGCAGCCCCCAGGTTTCATCATTCCCATCTCCTCACAGCGGAAATCAGGCGCGCCAAGCGCCGGTCCCAGCACAGGGGGGTCAGATGTGCGCCGGGTGTGCGGTGTCTGCTGTGCTGTGCCGCATCCCAGTGCGCCCACCCCTCATCCTGGGCTGGTGCAGAGGGGCTTGGGAGAGGGGGGGCAGCTGGCTCTGCTGGTAGGAAGGAGTTAAAGCAATGGGGATTATCTGGAGTTCGGCTCCCAGATGGCCAAGCATCCTCTGGGGCCCCATCCCCACCAGCTGGCTGCAACCAGTTCCCTCCATGCTCTGCTATGGGGGCAGCTCTGTCCCAGGGGCTCTGCGGGAGCTTAGCAATGGGGCTGGAGTGGGTGAAAGCAGCCTGGGAGCCGCACAGAAGAGCCCAACTAATAGTTTTGCTGGGGCACAGATGGGAGCAGAGGCTGCAGAGTGTTGCAAAGCTGCAGCAGCCCCTCTGTGAGCCACTCTGCTGGTGTGTGAGGCTGAAGGCTCCATGCAGGGCATGAGCTGGCAGCACTGCTGCACAGCTGTCCCTGTCCTCATCCCCTCCACTTGCTCTTACTTCCTGCGTTGTGCTGAGCTTGCAGAGCCCCGGGGCTGCCTGATGAGAGCTGACAGCAGCAGGCTCTGAGTTGCAGAGCAGGCGAAACCTCTGGGTTGCAGAGCGGGTGAAACCTCCGGCTGCGAGGAGAACTTCTGCTCAGGAGCAGAACTTTCAGCCCCAGGAAGGGTCGGGGGGCTGCGCAGCTGCACGAGGTGGGGTGGGGGCTGACAGGGAATCACTGATCCGACCCCTCTCCTTCCCTCTGTAGATGCAGAACGTGATGTACGACCTCATCACCGAGCTCAACGACCGCAGCGAGGACCTGGAGAAGCAGCTGGGCAGCCTGGAGTCCAAACTGGAGCAGCTGAGCGCCAGCTTCAACTCACTGCCTCTGCTGCTGGCCGACATGCTGCGCCAGCAGCACCAGCGCCTGCTCGCCGCCGTGGTGGAGGCTCGGGCCGTTGCCGTGCCTGCCGGCACCCCGCAGACCCCTCTGTCCGAGAGCCCCATCGGGGTCAGCTCCACCTCTTTCCCCACCCCGTACACCAGCTCCAGCAGCTGCTAAAAGCGCAGAGCGAAGCCCCTTCCTGGCGCTCCGTGGACACGGGGAGAGCTGGCGGCGGCCCCGAGGACTCGGCGTTCCCTCTGGGAACGGCGTTGGAGCGGTGATGCCTTGGGATGGACATCTCCCCCCTTCTCCTCTGTCCCCCAGACCCGCTCCCTTTCCCCCCCCCCCCCCCCCCGTTTCGGTGCCTCTACTCGTGGTGAAGGAAGGGGACGGAGGCGACGCTTCGCGCCGCGGCGCTCGGTGGAGGACAGGAATCCACGCTCAATCTCAGGTCTTCACATTGAAAACAAAACAAAACGAACACAAACCAGTCGGAAGCACTGAAGCGACGGAGACACCGGAGGGAGAATCGCACCGTGTGGAGCTCGGGGCTACGGGGGGGCACAGGGCTGCTCGCCCCCAACCCCTCCCAGTGCGTTCCCCTCCTCCTGACCTTGGAGTTCTTGCACAGCTCTGCCCTGAGATGTCCGTGCTCCGTCCCGTCTCCTTGCCAAGACACCAACACGCTCCCCTCGCTCTGTTCCAGGGTAGGTGGTGGGCTCCGAGCTGAGCGGGGGTTCTCTCTGCGGCACCGGTGCTCTCCGTTGGGGCAGAACCAGCTCTTCGTTTTGGCTCATTGGAGTCTCGAGCAGTGCTTAATACAGGTGGGGACGCCCCCACCGCTGCCCCCCACCCCATCCGGAGGTCTCCAAACCCCGGAACACCCCTGAGGTCGGGGAAGGCACCGGGCGCAGCTCCGACCCCGATGCCGCGGACGATGCTCAGTGTGGGACGCTTCATCTGTTTAAAACCACCCCCACCCCGCACCGCTCCTGCTGGGGGTCAGCAGCACCGGGGAGCGAAGATCCCTGTTCTGCTGTCACCGTGTCCCCTTCTCGTGTCACCCCGCAGCAGTTTGGGGTTCTGCCCGGTCCCTGCGCTGCCCCCGCTTTGGGGACGGCGTTTGCTGCTTTCATTGAAAACACGGCAGAGGATATTTATATATTTTTAAACAGATGAAGTCAGCGTGTAATTACTCCGTGATATTAATTACACATCACCCGGCAGTGTCAGTAATTGTAATCAAAAGCCACTGTGTTACTCCAGGTATACTCAGCCTGTAATCTTCTCCTTCGTAACTCTTTCGCTCCCGTCAGTAACGCTGCGTTCCGTGCGCACGCAGGCAGGGGTGGATCGGCCCCAGTGCAGAGGAATTGCTGTGCAAAACCCCACTCCCTGCTGCTGGAAGGTATCTTACTCCTCGTGCCCCGCAATTAAAGCTGCACAGGAAACAAGCAGCGGTTACGAGGCGCTCCCCTCCCTCCCTCCCCCCCTCCTCCAGCCCTGCCATTGGCACATGGCAGAGGAGGAGGAGGAGGAGGAGGAAGGCTCCTCCAGAGGAGCTGCAAAATGCGCTCCCGGTGCTGCAGAGGTGGTGCTGTGAAGCCTGTTGGTAGCACGGTAGCAGCCCCGGTTGTTCTTGTCGCATGGTTTGCATTCAGGGAGCGCAGAGCTCACTGCCAGCCTTTTTTATTCCTCGGCCAGCAGCGCATCTTCAGCTTCTGGGAAGGAGCTGCCCTTCCCCTGCACGAAGATCTTGTCATTAGTTTAATTGCTGGGCGGGCAGGGCTGATGGGAGCGTGTCATTGCCTCGGCAGCGCGCCAGCGCCGGCTCTCAGCATTGCTGCCAGTCCCTGTGCCTCCAGGTAACCACCCCTCACCTCCCCGCTCCTCAGATGGGGTGAAGAGGAGATGCCCATCTTCCCATCTTCCCATCTTCCCAAGGAGATTTCGAGCACGGCAATGGAGGAAGCCTTGCGAACGCCAAGGATGAGCCTAAAATACAGAATCTCCACTGGCCGCGGGCAGCCAGCAGAGAAAAACGTTTCCACGCCTCTCCTGTGGTTTGTGTAGGAACAAAGCGCCGTGCAGCGATGCGCCGTGGGGCTGAAGGAAGTATTGATGGCTGGGAATCGATATCTCCAGCGGGAACCTCCTCACGGGCTGGTAATCAAGTCTGAGAAAGCAACAAGAGTAGGACAAGAGGAGGAAGTGCCAGCTGGGCCGCCAAGTGACAGAGCGGTGATGAGAGCTTCAGCATTGCCACCAGCGCAGGAGCACCTCGTCCTTGGGCAGAGCTGCTGCTTCCTCATGGCACCGCTGCAGCCCACGGCCCTGTGCCCTCCATCGCACGCTCTGAGCTCAGAGCTTGCACGTGGCACCCCCAGCTCTGCACCTCACAGCCTGTGGACCCCCATCCTCACACAGCACGGCAGTCCCTCTGCCCAGCACCCCACACCTCATGCACCTTGCAGCCATGCACCTTGCAGCCATGCACCTTGAATCCCGCAGCCCGCATCCACGCACCCTTCATCCCTTGCATCCTACATCCTTCATTCCATAAACCCTACACCCTTCATCCCATGCATACTCCATCCCTTGAACCCTAAATGGTGCATGCATCCGTGCGCCCTACACTCTTCATTCCCCACAAACGACACCCCACATCCCATTCACCCTTCATTCCATTCACCCTACTTCTCATGCACCCTTCATCCAATGCACTCTAAACCCTCCATCCCATGCACCCTTCATTCCATGCACCCTACTTCTCATGCACCCTCCATCCAATGCACTCTAAGCCCTCCATCCCATGCACCCTTCATTCCATGCACCCTCCATCCAATGCATTCCACCCTCCATCCCATGTACCCTTATTCCCATGCACCCTTCATCCCTTGTACCCTACGCCCTCCATTCCATGCACCCTCCATCCAGTGCACTCCACCCTCCATCCCATGTACCCCTATTCCCACGCCCCCTTCATCCCTCATATCCTACACCCCACATCCCACGCACCCTCCATCCATCCAGCCCTCTACACCCTCCATCCTATACAGCCTTATTCCTTTATCCCTCATACTCTACACCCTCCATCTCGTGCACCTCCATCCAATGCTCTACACCCTCATCCTCCACTCCGTCCCCACCCGCTGCCGGTTCAGCACCGCGGACAGCGCCGCGCCGGTTCCGGTGTCGGTTCCGGTGTCGGTCCCGGTTGCCACGTGGGCACTGAGCCCCCCACACACCGACAGATGAGAGGGGAGCTCTCCTGCTTTCCTTTCCCCTGAGCTCCGAGCACCGAAGCGAGCAAGGAGGAGAGCTGGGACCAACGGGAGCCGTGCAGGAAAAGCACAAGAACCCAACAACAGCATCGTCTCGAAAACCCAAAGAGATGCCGACCTCTCACCGGGAAGCAGCCCTCAGACCCCCGCACCGGCTCAGCCCACCCCCCCATTTTGCAAAGCGAGACGACCACCCCCCCCTCTCAGCACTGCAGCTGCTATCCCAGGTGGGGCGAGCTCAACCCGACGCCCTCCATACCCACCCACTGCCTCCCGCAGCGCAGCCTCGGTTTTCCCCTCTGCGAACCTCTTGCACCGCCTGCAAGGAAACGTCCTAAAAACGCCAGAAAAAAAAAAAATAAGAAAAAAAAAAAAAAAAAAAAAAGGAAAAAATAATTAAAAAAAAAAAATACGACGTCCTCTCTGCAAACCCACAGACTGAAAACGCTTCTGTCCAGACTGAAGGAGGCTTCCGCACGGGTTTGCACCTTGCCTCTGTACTGCTCGCTTCTTTTTTTAACGATAGGGGAAAGCATAATAGTTTATTTTAACTATGAAATATATTGCTATATTACAAAGGTTATTGTAACTTTCAATTATGGTTTTGTACCCGACCTGTTGTCGGCAGGCAGCGACGCCCGCCTGCTGCCCATGTCTGTTTCTGAGTACAGTCACTGCGGGGCCGCGGCTGGTGGGAGCTCCCAGCGCAGCCCCCATCCCGATCCCTTCCATCCCAAGGCGTTAATCCCCGCTGGGATCCTAAATTTCTGTAGCACCGGGGCTTTGCTTTTCGCTTTTCTCAGCCTCCTGAAAGCCATTCCTTCTCCTGGTCCCGTTCAGCTGCGGGATGGAGGCTTTGGGGACGGAGCAGTGCAGGGCGCATCGCTTCTCCCTCGCTTTCGGACTTCAACAACCCAACCGTTTGGCTCAGAGCAGCCACACCGGCGCAGTGCGGTGCTCTCCAAGTTCAGGGATCACCCATCCATCCTCCTCCTCCTCGGGGCAGGAGGGCTGTGGGGTCCCACTCTCTTCTTCCTCTCAGGTCAACGTGTCCCCAGCTCGGGGACGAGGGCATCCCCACATCCCCACTGGTGGCAGGTAAGGACTTGGCACGGGGAGGCCGTGGGGTGCCTGGAGGTTTTGCTTCCTTCCATCTCAGGCTGTGCTTGTGTAGGACGGAGAGGCAGCCCCAAATTTAGGAGAGGGACGTGGTGAGGTTGCAGGGATTGTCCCAGCTCAGCCTTGCCGTTCTCAGTGCGCACTTGGGGGGCATCTCAGCACCGTGTGCAGGACGAGGTCTGTAGGGAAATAGTCTTAAACCCCCCTTTGCAGCCCTGCTCTGCGCTCCTGGCCGCTTCCTTCCATGTGGAGCAGCAGCCAGGGTTGAGCATGGCGCCTGGGACCAATTCCTGCTGCCTTCCTCCAGCACAGCAAAATCCCTTACGCAGCTCCTCTATCCCCCCCCCCATCCCCATAGCGCTGTCACTGTTATCAGTTATCACTATCAGAGCCCATGAAGGCACCCGGAGCTGCAGGTTGGAGAGCTCAGACGGCTCCTTGCAGGGCTGAAGCCCCCCCAGCAGCTCCAGCTGCCCCCCGTTGAGCCCAGCTCAGGGGGTTCCTGGGGTTTGTGGCCAGGCTGGAGGAGAAGGGCTGGCTCCTTTCCTTGTGAGCGGTGGTGAGGGCATTGCTGACCCCCTTCTGCTGGGGCTGAGGTCTGTAGGGTGCTCGGAGCCCTTGTGCTCCTTCTGTCCCCAGCCATCTCACAGCCCTGTGACCCCCAGGTAGGTTTGCTGGGGTATCTCCTTTGAGGGGGGGGGGGGTTGAAGGATGCTGCTGCTCCTGCTGCTGCTGCTGCTGCTGCTGGGGGACTTTGCTCTGCTTCCTGCCCCCATCTTCTCCCCACTCAGCTCCCTAAGGGCTGCAGGGAGGATTTAACGGGGGGAAGCCCTTCTGCTCGGGGGGTTCTTGCTTTTCCCTGGATGAGCCCCATCTGCGCCCCATTTCCTGAGCAAAGGGCAGCTCTGCAGCCCCCAGGATGCGCTCTTCTCCGCCTCCTGCCCAAATCCTTCCTCCCCTGCACTGCACAACCCAACGTGGCCCTATAGAGCTGCTTGGGGCTGCGGTGAGGATCCGGCCCCACACTCCTCCCAATCTGCGCATGGCCCTGAAGAGGGGAAGGGAACGGGCCCTGCCCGTCCCAGCAGCATTGCCATAAACCGAGCTGTACCCAGAAACAGGCGCGTTTTAAACTATGGCTTTAACCTGTTCACTGTAAAAAGTGCCTTGGACTTTAATCTGAAGAGGTCAGTATCTATAAATATTTACCTGTGCGGGTGTGTAAGTATGCAGATCTCGATGTATAGTTACACACGCAAATATATGACGTATACGTACCTACATAAACGCTTCAGACCCCTCTGTTCTGCTGGTCCTTGGAGCTCTGTTCTGGGTGTTGGATGGGAGCTGTGTTGGCAGGGAACCGTTGCGATGCTCAGGGTGGTCGTGCTGTGGGTGCACTGGCATTGGGGTGCTGCCTCTGCGGGGTGCAGGTGGCGGAGCAGCCCCTCACCGGAGGGGTGCTGAGCTCCCTGCATCTCAAGGAATGGCTTTGTGTCCCTCGGGGTCTGTGCTGGGCTCTTGTGGTCCCTATATGAGCTTTAGGAAGGCCCCGCAAAGAGAAACTTTCCTTGCTGACATGCAGACATAGGGAAGGATGAGGACAGTGGCACCAGTGCTGGTTTTCCAGTGGCTGCTGCCATCGCTGCCTTTGTTGGTGGGGAGGGGGGGGATGAGACTTCCCTGAGCCGCAGCAGCAGGCTTTCTGCTTGGGATGGCTCTGCTGTGCCAGCAGCCCACCTGCACGAGGCTTCTTGTGCTGAATGAGAGCCCCTCTCCTTTGGCACTGTGCTGATGCACGCATTTTTTCCCTCCTCCTGAGCCCAGTGTGACCAGAGCTGCTCCCAAAGCTCAGCCATTGGATGGGTCACCTCTCACCAAAGAGACAGAATCTGGCTGGGATGTGGGGCAGAGCCTCGACGGAGCGCTCTGAGCTTTGGCTCATGGTTTAACACCCTTCCCTTTCTCCCCCCCCCCCCAAAAAAAACCCAACCAACCCAGATGCAGCCCCACACCCGCAGAGGAAGGCTGGGGTGACACGCAGCGATGGCACCGTGACAAATCACTCAGTCGAGCATCGCTTTGAGCCAAAGCTGCCAACTTTCAAACCACCTCCAGCGTTCCGAGGGGCTCTCAGAGGGCTGATGAATGCCACGCCAGCTCCATTTCCCAAATTAGTGTCTTAGCAGTGCAGAGCCCCGTGCCATCAGTGCAGCTGTGCGCTGGTGCTGCCCATGGAGACGGGAGGGATTCGTTTAATCTCTGCGTGCGGCACCAAATCTGCTTTTATTAATGGTCGGGATTAAGGCAGGAGGCAGAGCTGTGTGTCCCCACGTCCTCTGCATCCCAACCCCATGGATGTGGTGGTGGTGAATGAAGCGCGCTCGGAAGGAGGAAAAATCAAGAGGAATCAATGCTGTTAAGCACTGCGCTCTGCAGTTGCTTGAAAAGCAGATGGAGGTTCTTAAGAACAGTGGGGAACTGCTGGCCCGCACCTGAGGAGGGGAAACCCGTGGGCACGCTGCCATAGGCCTGAATCGACGCCTGCTGGGAATGTGGGAGCAGCTCCCAGCGATTGCAGCAGGGCTGCTTTCCGTGTGCTCCCATTTCCCATCTCGGGGGTGGGGAGCAGAGCAGCCCTGCAGGGGGGGGGGTTGGTTCTGCCCTGGGGGTCACAGCGCAGCTCAGGGCCGTCTCCCGCTGTTCTTTCCATCTCTCACAGGCTCGTTTCACCGAGGTAAAAGCAAGGCTGCTAATTTCATCCCCTGCCGGGGCCGTTAGTTAGCACTAATTATCCACACGGCGGTGTGAGGTCTGCAGAGCAGATCGCGCCTCGGAGAGGTCTGGGCAGCGTCAGTGGAGCAGCTCAGCAATGCCGCGGCTCGGCTGCTTCGCGCCCCATGCCCAGCACTGCGGGGCTGCGTGCGACGGCTCCTGTGCTCCCCACAGCTGCTGTGTGCTGATATCTCCTTGCCCGGCTTGCAGTGTTTGCACAGAGCTTCCTTTTCTCTCCCCGACGTGCCTGCAATCCCCATGAGGGCGCACGGAGGATGCATCTGCATGAGGAGATGCCAGGAGCAGCTATCGTCGCTTCCCAGCTCCCGCTGCTCGCACAGTGAGAAGGGTTCCTCAGCAGGAATCGGCTGTGAAAAGCGGTGGTAAATGACACTTTGCTGTGCAATGGGTATTTCTGGGTTTCCTGCTGGGCTTCCCGTGCTGCAGTGGTGGAGGTGCTGTGGAGGGGGGGGGCTTTGCTGCACTCCCCCCCCCCAAGTCCCTAGAAAAGCGACCCCTCCTCCACAGCAGTGCTCTGCCAAATGCAGGGCTGTGCATTCCTGCATCTCATGCAGGGGGACAGAATGCGATAGAAGGGTTCAGAAACCCTTCCAAGTGGTATTTTTGGGAGCTCTGGACCGTGCAGGGTTTGGGGTCGCTGCTCCAGCACAGGGCCTGCATGGCTTTACTTGTACCAAAAATCGGTTGGGAGCAACAGGTTGCGTATTAATGAAAGAGGAATCAATTAGGCGGCGAGCTGCTCAGCCACCTGGTGCTGCTGACTATTTTTTCCCCCTCCTTTTCTTTCTCCTTAACGCTCTGCTGCTGCCTCTGGGGAAGTCATGAAAGAAGCGAGGCACGTTCCAGCTTCTCGCTTGCTTTTAGATTAAACAACAAAAAAAAAAACGCCTTTTGTGGGGAAATCTGTGCGGAGCATCCAATTAAAGAGCCGTCCCCGTGCCATCCATCAGCACCGGGCTGCGGCTCGGCTGTCAGCCGCTTTGTGCTGCGCCAACAGAACCATTTGCAGCGATCAGAGGGGGGGAAAAGCAGAGAAAAGGTGTGAGGGGATGCTGTGGGAGGCGCAGAGGAGCTCAGTGCGATGGAAGCACTTCGGAGGTCTGACTGCAGCCGGCTTCTCTTTGCAGCCTCGGTGCTCGACAGCCCCGTAAACGCGCAAAAAGAGGGGCTGAGCGCTGCCCTTCCATTGCAGAGTGATGACACTGAGGAGAATAGCAGAGGGGTGGGGGGAAATCAGCCCTGCCGTTGTGTCCTGGGGTAAAAGGGGAGCCCTGAGATGGGGGCGTGCAGCCTCCAGGATGCCTTTCAGCCTTTGGGTTGGGGCTGTGCCCAGCTGGGGATTGCAAAATCCCTTCGATTTGGCTGAGCACACAGCAAAGCTCTCTCTCTCTCTCTCTCTCTGCAAAATCAGATTTAATATTAAACGCAAAAGGGGGTGGCAAAGGGCAGGAGGGAACCTGGGCTGGATGGCACCGTAAAGGTTACAGAACAGAATGTTAATGCTGTCTGTCAGGAAGCTCCCTGCAAGCTGGCAGTGGGAAGGCTCACTGATGTGACTGATGAGCTGCCTGGGAGCTGCTGCCTTCATTCAGAGCAGCACAGGGAGCCCCTTCTCACTGCTCCCCATCCAAGGACTTCCTTCACACACACACTCCCCGGGGGGGGGGGGGGTGAAGGCTCTGAGCAGCAAGAGCCATGCAACAACACAGCTCCCTGAGCAACAGCAGCGCAAGGCTGAAGGCCAAGGCGCCCAGCAGACACTGACAGCCATAAAAACGTGACAGATGAGCCCACCAGCAGCCAAGGCGAGGGCTCACGTGGCAGCCTCAGCCATGGGGAACGCTGCTGTTGTCGCAGCCAGCGCCGAGCTGCTCCCTGCTGCTGCAGCTGCACAGTCACTGCGATGCTCCTGCAGCTGTGCCATCCCCACCCACAGCCCCACACAGCACTGGGGAGGCGCAGGGAGAGCCCCCCCCTTCTCCCCCCTCATCCCCTCCATGCTGTATCAGGATGAGCAATCGCTGCTGATGTCTGCAGAGCAGCCGTGGCAGCTGCTGCTGTGCCATCCAAGCTCAGCTTCACACCTCTGCTGAGCGGCGAGGAGCCTCGAAGGGAATTGCTCATGCAGCGTTGGGTGATGCTGCTGCTTCCCCTGCCTTTGTGTCAGCAGGGATTGCTTCGAAGTGGGAAATCCCATTTGGGATGCAGCACTGAGCTCGGGGAAGGCAGACCCAGGGCTGGAGCTCTGCGTGCAGCCCTTTGGGGTGCGAGTGTCAGCTGCTCCTTTCCTGCAGGGATGGAGCAAATGGCATTCGTGGTGGTTCTGCAGGTTGAGTGATCGCCACCTGCTTGTTAAAATGGGCCGCCACCAGCACCACCACTGAGGTACCAGTGCTGCAATAAGAATCTATTGGGGGAAAACAAACAAACAAACCCCCAAAAAACCTTTGGAGGGGAATAGGAGCAGCAGGAGCTGCAGAGATCCAACACGGGGCTCACAGCTTTGCGGCTGCACCCAATGCAGAGCAGCACTGTGAAGGATGCAGGGACTGAACCCCATTCCTTGCAGCACTGCAGGGCTCAACGTTGCGCTGCAGGAGCTCAGAGCACAGCCACAGGGCAGCACCTCCGCTCAATTAAAGCTTCCAGTCAGCTGATGGAGGAGAGTAACAAAATGTCCCCGTTGCAATCGAGCCATCGGCTTTTATCTCCCGGTGGGAACAGGCTGATTCAACAGCGAGGAAGCGATATTTCAGCACGTCTCATAAAGCAGCTCTTAGATGGAGCCCGGCGGAACAATGGCCTTCCAGCAGCGGGTCGGGCGGGGGAGCTGTGCCACAATTTATGGCATTTCGTAAGAGGGAGCGGAACAAAGGCGGCACCTGAGGCGCTCGGTGCCTTGGTTCGTGCTGCCATCGTGCGGGGGGGACGAGCTCGGAGTCGGGGGTCCCCCACAGCCTGTGCTGGGTGGGGGGTACGGAGCAGCACGCCAAGGCTTTCAGCCCCTTATCTCTAAATTAACCCACGGATCGTCCTGATAACAGCTCGGCGGCTCCATCTCTCCCACTGCGTTCCTATGGAGACGAGCTGGAGCTTGCCCAAGTCTCCACGAGTCGTAGAATCATAGAATCCTAGAATGGCCTGGGTTGAAAAGGACCACGGTGATCATCAGCTCCAACCCCTTGCTATGTGCAGGGTCGCCAACCACCACACCAGGCTGCCCAGAAAACCCACAGGGTGCCATAAGGATCCATAGGGTGCCATAGGGACCCATGGGGCGCCATAGGGACCCAATGGACTCATTGAATGCCCTGGGTTGCAAAGGACCACAATGGCCATCAGCTCCAGTCTCCTGCTGTGTGCAGGGTCTCCAAACACCAGACCAGGCTGCTGAGAGAACCGATAGGGTGCCATAGGGACCTGTAGGGCGCCATAGGGACCCAAAGAATCATTGACTCATAGAATGGCCTGGGTTGCAAAG